CTATTGACGCTAGCAAAAAGTTTTTATATGGAAATTGTAGATCTCGTCGTCCTCTACAAAAAAGATCTAATGCAATTTTCCCGTATCTCCAACGGTTTAGGAGTTATTGGCAAAAAACGAAATTTTCGCAAAATCTGAAGGGGTACCCCTTGGAAAAATTTCGAAAAAATCGAAAAATTTTTTTTTTTGTTTATTATTAGCAATGTTCTTCCGACGTCTGATTTCTTTTTAAAAAATGCGTTTCTAAAGTGCATAAACCTTTGGGATTGACTGTATAGCCAATACATCCTTAAGTTTCTTTTTCCCTTTGACGACGTCATCATCGTTTTCGTTCCATCTGACGATCATCGTTGTCAACGACGACCTAACGACGCTACCGAAAGAACCGAGAGACGATGCCGGTCTATTACTCATCGCCGTCGATGATCTTTTCTAAGTGTATAAAGGATGGGTGAGAAAGTATCAGGATCATGTAGCCAAGTTATATCGTAACGATAACTCGCGGTACCATTACGTATATTCGATATATTTTCAGAATTGGGATACGTATCACACGCGTTCTCCTCTGCGATGCCAAAGATGATCTCGCGGTGCGTCGGGAGTCCTTTCGAGTTTATCATCGTTACTCGGTGGCTATAACCGAGCTGCTTCCGTTGACGAACGTACGATTCGTCGCTCGATTTTCCTCTTTCGGGCGCGCGCACCGATATGATCGATAACGTGTGGTAAGAGAGGAACGGGGAAGGAAACGGACGGGTAAAAGTAAAAGGAAATGGGCAAAGGCCGCGTGTAACGTATAGGCTACGCGATATCGCGATGCGTATGTGTATTGTGTTAGTCGAACACGCAGTACGGTGTTTGTATAGTAAACCCTTGTAAATAACTGCGATACGTGATAGAGGAACTCTGGGAAAGAGTAGTAGAGGGAGTCGGCTGGAATCAGGACTGTGAGTATGATGGGCATTCGAGATGCATCGGTCGCGTGCTATTGTTATTGCTGCGCGATTATTATTTAAAACTACGTGCATACATATTATAATATGTTGTTGCCACATCCGTTGTCGGCACGTCGTGCATAAACATACGTATACACACACACACACACACACACCTACCTACCTACCTACCTGATAAGCCTCTAACTTAAACTAAAGTAAAAGTATCTAATAAAAAGTTAATGCTACTTAAACTTAATGCCAATTAAAAGGACGTCTATAAACGAATTTTCTCCGCAGTGGTGTATCGTGCTATCTCATTTCGCGTAGAGACGTATATAGGTGCATACTTACCGTACACGTTCGATCATCGTTTTTCCTTCGTTCGTCTCTCCGCGAGACGAGCGTCGTTCGGACGAGCTTGAAAAACGTAGATCGAGCGAGAGGGGGTGGTTTTTCTTTCCCGGAACGTTGCGGGGAAGATCTATCTGGCCACGATGTTAAGACCGGTTCGTTGGGCGCATCTCATTTCTAGTCTTTGTTCCTTCGGGGTGGAAATCGGGGAAAGCACGGGCTTGCTCGCGTAGATTTACAGTTTAGGACGCGCGGACGCCAAGTGTCCGGGACAAAAAACTAGACGAGGAGGAAATTTTAGTACAAATTCGATAGCTTTATCGTTTGTTCGTAGGAAGAGAAACGCGAATAGAGGAATGCGAGGTACGCGATTATGCAGCAGGTGAAACGAAGCGCTCGACGCGTCGGTACTAATATCGACGATACTTTCTGCTCTATCCAAGTCTCTTCTCGATTGATTGGCTCGCGCGCGAGCAACGCAGGTCTACAATCATTCATTAGATGACGTATTCACTTGTCGTCGAAGCGAACCGAACAAATTCCCCCCAAAAGAAAAACGATTTAAAACTTAGACTGTAAGACGTTGATCGATACATAGAAAATATGAGAACACAGCGATCTCGATCGCGGATAATTAGAGGTAACGTTTTTTAACAACAACAAATCGATGTGAGTAAGCGAGAGCGATTTTTATGTAAACTTTCTTGATAATTTTGTAAAAAAGGTTTATTTAACATTCTAATCTACTAATAAATTAAATGAAAGTTTATAAATGAAACGGATGTGTTTCCAAGTACGCAGGGTGTCCTCGCGTAGGTTTTCCAGGAGTCAAGCAAGGAAAATCGAATTTCCGAGTGTACCGATAATAAATGAACATTCATCGACAGTTTCCCAGCGGCAATTGCAATCGAACCGTCTTGTGATCGCAATCGTCTAAATAACTAACAGCCCTTTTGTTTTCTTCGTTTCGCATGGTTGATCGACTCCTGTAAATACAGTGAGACCAGGACACGGGGGTAACAACCATCGATGTTTCCAGGCCCTGGTAACTGGAAACGGGTGGCTACGAAGGTACGTGAAAGTGGTCGGAGTGCTCGTAGAGAATGAGAAGAATCAGGGATCGATGAGCCGCGAGTCGTGATTATTGTCCGAAGCATGTGGTTCTTATCAGTGGTCCGCTTACCATCGTGGTAGCCGTGACATCCGGTGGTGAGCCAAGGAATTTTGCGATAATGTATTCGAATGAATGAAAATCAAAACGCCTCGTTGCATCGCTTCATACAAATTTATTTTTTTCCTTCTTGAACATTGATCGTGTCGCGTTTCCAAAGATCTTTATCGACATATGCAAAAGAAAAGAAAATTCTTGGCTTTACAAAGATACATCTAATTTTAACCGACCAAATCTACTACCCTTCTCCCGGATCAGCTCTCTCTCTCTCTCTCTCTCTCTCTCTCTCTCTCTCATTCTCTCTCTCGTTCTCCCTGCTTTACTCACGCACGCGCCTACACCCTTGTTCATCCCCCCTGCCCCGTTCTCTTCCGCTACGACTCTAGTTCATCTCTCTTCCCCTTTGCCACGTTTCTTTTCTATTTCTGCGTTCCTCTTTCCTGCTTCGACGTCGACGACTGTCCCGTACCACATTTTGAAAAAGTCAATGCGATTCCCTCCGCGCGATACCGATTTTATGGAACAAAAGATACGAAAGTAGCGGTGGTGTTCTCGAAACCGAAAGGACGGAAACCGAAAAACATGAGGCGGATGCGAATACTTGAACGACGCCTGGGAGTTACCTTTTTATTACAATTATTACTTCAATATTTATTCCTTATTTTGTTATCAATAAAAATCGTTACATAGTAGTTTCGGTTGCTGCTTGACGCCAGACGAATCGACAAGCAATCAGTTATAGTAGTAATAGTAGCAGTAATATTACAAGTAATAATAAATGGTAGCGGTATCGTGTGTTAGGGGTGTGTGCGTGTGTACGTGTGTGTATGTCGTGTGACTGAGCGGGGGTGTTTCTCTTTCTCTCTCTCTCTCTCTCTCTCTCTCTCTCTCTCGCGACGAGAGACCGCGATAGTCGAATGAGAAACGTTCTCCACGTTTCTTCTCAATTACAAGTTCGATCTTGTACGTTGTTTATTTTTCTCTGCATTCCCCTGAAAATAGAGCCGACAAAGTCGAGTAGAAAGGAAGCATAACGAGATCTCAATTTTTAAAAGTGAATCGAAATTAAAACAGTCCGTCTACAGTTTCTCGTTTCAACTCTCGCGATCCTACTTCCGTGTTCTGTTTGCGTGTCGCGGACATTCGAATGGCCGTGTTTCGGTGTGTAAACCTTGCGACTGCTTGTACCATTCCTCACCCCCGTTCCTCGCTCTTTCTCACCCTCTTATCGAAAAATGACACGTCCCTCTCTCGTCTTTCTCACACATAGCAATATTAAAGAGAGTAAATAGTTAAAAGGGCTGTATCATCGGGTTGGGGGGAGGGGGTCGGGGTTACAATCAATCCGCATCATTTTTCACCGTCTGCCGCACGCTAGCCTGCACCGTTTGCCATCAAATCTCGTTACAACCAAGTCGCTTTTGCATCTTCGCTCCCTGCTCCATCGCATTCTTTTTCCGATCGGGGTCTCCGCTGCGACTTCTCGCACGCCGTTTCCCGTTGATCCTCTTCTCGGTTCTTGTACCATCCATCGAAATCAATTTGCCGTTCATTTTCCTCCCCGATTTTCCACATTATTCTCGCTCGTGCTCCCATCTCTCTCTCTCTTTCTCTTTCCCTCTCACTGTCATCCTCGTTCGCTCGCTAACTCGTCAGCTACTTCTCAATCACGCATTCACCTTTTCACGCCCTTTCCCATCCTAGCCAATTTCTTCCATACCTTCGCATATTTCCTTTCTCTCTCGCACTCTCACGCACCCTTTCGCCTCTACCCTCGCACTCCCTCTCTTTCTCTCCCTCTCTCTCGCATCTTTTCGTTCTCTACAAAAAAGATTGTAAACCTAACACGCAATAGTTTACTATTATTTATTATCATTATTTTTTATACTTAATGCATGCTTGTGTATTTTGTCTCTCCATCGACGAGTCGACACACGACCGTTCGTAAATGTAGCTCTTCTATCCATTCTCGGGTTGATTCGGTTGACGCACGATGCGCATAAATGTAAAACTGCACGTGTTCAGTTGCGATTCGTTTTTTTATTCAATCGTAAAAAAGGGTTTTCTCGTTTGATCTTTGCCAAAAGTTTCTGTTCTCTATCATTAATACTATTATATCGTAGACCGTAGATACGCAGTCGGGAATAAAAATTTCAAATAAAAGAGAGGTTTGTATAAGCTAAAAAGGAGGAAAAAAACAACGAAAAGATTGCTCACTCTCAATCTCTCTTTCTCTCTCGATTACAATTTGCTCGCGATCGTTCTTGAAAATATATAAACGCGTACGCAGAGTTTGAAGGAAATCGCTACCGCGTAGCACGTGGAGGCGTGCGCCCGCTATGTATTCCTCGAACGTCGACCAGCCGAATCGAAGAGGAGAGAACCACGACTGGAATATGATAGCTGTGTTGCTGGTGTTTGATGCTGATGTAGTAGTTGTTACTCTTCATCGAATGTCGCGCGGCAAGCTTCAGGCAGTTTCCGGCGCGACTCGTGCGGCATTTACGCATTCCATTCGCTGTTCATTAAAATAATCGATCGTATCGTTTAATATTAATATTAGATATTTATGTTGGGTCCCAGAGGTTACTGAAACAGATAAGCAAACGAGACCGGGACACGTCCCGCGTTAATTTCGACGCTGTTGCATAATTACGAGGAAAAAAAGAAAGCGAACGCGTGCTTTCTCTTTTATTCGAATCATTTTTTCCTTCACGTCTCGCGTACTCGATCGACCCCTGTGCGTTACCTGCTGCTCGCGCATCGTCGTATAAACTTAGGTGGGTCTCGGCTAGGTAACGAGGAACATTGGTGCTCGTGCAAAATACGAGGGACACGCGCAAGTATAACGCGATTAGTCATCACGGCAAGCTGATACATCGAGCCAAAGCGGTCGACTGAAATTATGCGAGAATGACTCACTTGCGTTCGAGCGTAGTTTTTGCGCGCGCGTCGAACGCATCTCTCGGTTCCGATAAACCATTCGTCTCGCGTTCGTCCACCGAAGCGAAGTTCGCGTACGGGAGACGTGATGGACACGACCGTGATATTATGCTAATCGCAATACCAACCTAATAGCCGCAGGACACGAGGTAGTCCCCGAGTTTTTCGACAACCGATGCGGCCTGCTGTGGCTGTATGGGGTCTTCGTAGAGAGAGACGACTACCGCTTGCGTCGTCTTCATGCAGTGGACGCCGACCTTGCCAAGTTTTGCCCTTATCACTCGATCCGTGCCGGACAGGTAAATGTACCTGTTGCCGGCCAAGGTGACACCCGACGACGTCAGAATTTCCTGCTCGTCGAATCCCTGGACCAATTTCGCCAACTCCTCTTTACTTACCTGCGCAGAGACACACACACACACACAAACGTTTTTCGTCTTCTATTTCGTGTACAAACAAAAATTCGACTCGTATCCCGTCTTCTAGCCCTCCCGTTCGGGACAAAGGGAGTCGTTATCGGCCGCGTCAGAGATAAGAACGGGGCTTACAATTATGTAGATATACACGTGCTTTATCGTCGAACAGACGATATCCTCGAAAAAGAGCGTGACGTTTCAAACGCAATTCGATCCGCGTGCGGGAGGTGGCAACGAACCGGTGATCTTTCTCGTGGTTTGCCCCGAATCTACACGTGCGTTCCGCGACAAGATGCATTAGCGGCGGAGAACGATAACGGGATGCGCGTTTAACGATTGTAATCGGATACGTTTATCGTAGTTCAAGGCCGCGTCGAGTCATCCCGCTCGGAGACGAATCTGGCATAGCATTTGCGTCCCAATCTTTCGCAATTCTCGCGCGCAGAGTAATTTACGAGAAAGGAGTCGACAGTGACCGTACGTCATCGACCTCGTGACGGTTTCGCGTTTGAGAATACCTCCAAACGGTATTTATAGATTCGCACAAGGAGATCTCGAAGATAAGTGTTTTAATCGACCTTCCCTGTCGCTTTTCATTAATTCGCGTTTCTAGTGGTTCAAGTTCGACCTCTCTCGTTCGACTTTGTGTTCCTAACGCGACGATCGGAACCCGAGCCAGGTGACCGTCTCCTCGAACGTCGGAGCTAAATAGATTCTTTTTTCGGGAGGAAAAGTGGACATGAGTAAAAGTAAAAGCAAAGCGTGCGTTTGATCAGGCGCCAAAACTCTCGTCTAACGATTCAATGTACCGTGGGAGGTTGCTGGCCGGCCGGTATCGCCATTTTGGCATTCGTAACCGGAAAGTATGTGTGCGCGGCGAGGCCGCACGGTGCAGCTGCCCCGACCTTTATCTTCCACACCGTTTCACCACCTCTCCGCGTGCGTATAACCTTTCTTCGAATCCGAGAAACAGCCGTTTCGCCTCGCCTTGCCTTGCTTCGATCTCGTCTTGCCTGGCATTCTCGTTTTTTTTCCCCTGACCGAACACGACGGAGCTTTCCGTATCCGAGCAACAAAACCGCGTCGTTCTACGTAGAGCGTGAAATCGATAGCAACGGATAGAATTGATGAGAACAGAGAAGGTGCAGAGTCCTGTGATAACGAGAGAAAACGATGTCTTGCCAAGAGTGCCGTCGACCTTTCAGGGCGACAGATGCCCGCAAGAAAATTTAATCATAGGCACCCGACGGAAAAGCGGAACCGCCGTCTCTCCGTGCCCGTTTTCCCAGTTTTTCATCCCGTTAAGAGCCTTACAAGTTGTAACAGTCCCTAGTTCTTCGGCCTCGCAGGAATAACGCCAATTCGAGATCCTTACCGACGCGATTTGTAACAGCTTTTTAAATGCAACGCGGATGGCGCGTCGGTCGAGCTCAACTTTTCTGGAACTGTCCCCGACCGTTTTCTAATATTACACGATTTTCGTATTCAGAAATATACTCGCGTTTCGTCCAAACGAAACGAATACCACCGAACCAGGAAAATCCGGTTGCCACAGAGACTATACTTTGCCGCATGAGCTACGACGTCCAGAGAATTTCGATCGTTACGCGATTCTGGATCGAGTATCTATGGAACGAAACGTTCGTTTCGTTATCATGTCCGTACGTTCCGTTTGCAGTGAGTATCTAAATTCACAGCGAAGGATAGATTGGGCACGTACGTAAGTGCCTTTGCAAACCGTCTTCCAATACCAGAATCGTTTCCGAAGAAATGAGTCATGCCGCCAGTGGCAAACATCGACGATAACATTTTTCTTCGATTCGACGCGAATATCGCGAACACGTAATCTAACTGTGACCGATGAAAAATTTCTCGACGACGGGTCTCAACTGGGAAAACGGGAATAGAGAAAGCACCTTTGCGAGGAAGAGGTGCCACCATTTCCATGGGCGGCAGCAGCAACGTGCCCGGCAGGCAGCCATGTTAAACTTAGTCGAAAACCGTTCAAGTTCGACCAGACAAAATTTTCTCTCTCGAAAATTGCCACACCCCACACCCTGCTCACCGTCGAACCGTTCGTTTTTCCGAGCGGCCTAGCCAGATTTTCGTGAAAATCGCGAAACATACACGTACATCGGCCTCCCTCGGCCACGATTAGTTGTTTTCGATCGATTCGACGATTTGCGCGATGTATTTGCGATGGCCGGGTTCCACGATGCAGACATATTTGGGCGGTGGACAAAATCCTCGAGCAGGTTCTCGGATACGGCCGAATTTTCCCCGCGAAACGATAACGACGATAACGATAATTCGAAACACATCCGGCAGGCAACTTTAATCTCGGTTAGTGCTCGATCTAACCGGCGTCAGTATCACGAGGGGACGACCATGCCGGGTCAACACGCGGAGCTACGATCATTTTTGTCGTTCACCGAGCATGCAAAGAGATTCCTTGATTCAAGAATGGCCAGCGATCACGAGGCATCGTTCTCTCGTTAAAAGAAATGGCTTATTTTTGGGGAAATTCGCATCGATTACCATGATACGCGGTTTGAAAACGAGTACGTGCTCTATCTTCCCATAAAGTCGTGCACGTTTAACCAATACGTACAGAATTTGATCACCTGTAAATTACATATCACACGTAGATATATATAGACGTATGTACACCCGTTGCGAAGAAAGGGAAAAGGATGTTCGATAGCCGACCGATTACAACGAGAACGACGACGATTGAAGCGAAGCCTAAAGAGGCGGCGGGCCACTGCTGCGAGACATTTCATTAGTTTTCGGGATACGTTCGGCACGTACTTTCCCTCTTGTCGACTACTCGGTGAACATAGCAAGAAGGCACTTCGGTGCGGAATTGGTCGAACGAAATACTCACTTCGAAGCCCTCCGACTTTGCCCAAAGATTGCCATCGTGTCCCGCGATCGCAGCTTTGGTAACACACTTAGACGCGAGCAGCTGCTTGTCAACGTAATCCTGCCAGCTCATTTTTTACACACAAGCGGCTTCGACTCAATTGTTCACCACGCCACTAAAGACACAACCCGTCACCGACTGACTCCTCTCACGACTACCTATATGCGCTCAACGCCGGCCACACTTCTCTTTCACCGCCCCTCTCGCCTCGTCTCTTGGTGGTTACCAGCATCCCTCTTCGTCCCGCACCACCCTCCACTTCGTCCACCTCTTTTCCCCACTCTCTTTAACCGGATGGTAATTGACTACCGGCCAGTATTACCAACTGTTCCATTTCCATTCGACATCGATACTTCACAAATTTTCTCCTTTGTTTCTTTATCAATTTTGCGTTCCTATTTTTCGTTCATCCCAGTCTTTCTTATCAGCTATTTTCTTTGTTGTCTTAAAAAAAATGCGCATTGCATTTTGATTTCCATCTTTGTAGTATGATCGATCGCAGTCCGCCACTTATCATTATCTCTTCTTTTTTTTAAACCGATATCTTTAAACTAACATGGATATGCCATAAGATAACAGCGTCTACTACTTGAAATTATCGATAACAATATTTTATTTATAATATCTAGTAACTTTCATGGCTCGAACGCGTGTGTGGGTGATCTAGAGGATCACAGATACACGCACAGGCAACTCGTCTGTTGCTCGTCTGTATCGTGGGCCTCGATATATAATTAATAGCCACGCTACACTACTGGATCCAGGCCAGTACACGTGCTTTGTCAATTCGCTGACAGATAGTTTTCAGTCACATGAACGATAGCAGTTAACTCGTGTTAGCGATCTTTCTTTTCAAAATGCAAGTCTCTAGTCCAAACAATGTAAAGATCTATAACTTGAGCGCTGGGAAGTCTCTCCCTGAGGTACGGTTTATTATTTATACCTAACGATAATAGATGAAATTGTTTTAAGAACAACTGTTTTTAAGCATCTTTTCGTGTAATATACGGCTTTACTCATTTGTAACTTTGTCCCGGCAGTGGTTAACCGAACGCAAACGACGGAAACTGTTGAAAAAGAATGTTGGTAAGCAATCGTATTTTATTAACTCATTAGCGAAAATCTGTTTACATTAAAGACAAATGTTCTCATAGACATTCGTCGGCGCATCGAACTTATCCAGGATTTTGATATGCCTGGCGTCAGTACTGCGATTAGGGTAACAAGGGATGGCCAGTATGTTTTGGCAACTGGTACATACAAACCACGCGTGAAGTGTTTCGAAGTGAAGAATTTATCTTTAAAATTTGAGAGATGTTTTGATGCAGAAGTTGTCAGTTTCGATATACTGTCAGATGATTATAGCAAGGTATAGAAATGTTTGGTTGGTAGATTCTACAGATACTACCTTGCATTCTTTGGTTTTAGTTAGTACTTTTACAATGTGATAGAAACATCGAATTCCACGTAGCCTATGGAAAGTATTTTAAACTTAGGATACCACGTTTTGGGAGGGACCTAAAGTATCATTATCCGTCTTGTGACCTCCTCGTTGTAGGAGATAGGTATGTTGCATGTTTCTCACTGCCGACCCTTGGCTGAGTTTCATTAGCTCCAATTGTTTTACAGTAGTCAGATATACAGGATAAACCTTGAAAGGGGGCAATTCTTGCAGTCTTTCTTGACAGAGGCATCGTCTTTAAATAAATGCGAAATAAATCCTGTTCATCATCTTATCACTGTTGGAACAGAGGATGGGAAGGTAGAGGCATGGGATCCTAGATCTAGGAATAGAGTCGGTACTTTAGATTGTGCTCTGCATTGTGTTACTGGGGACTACGGGTAAGACGATTTGTCACAGATAATGTCGTCGGTTCAAACGTAATATTTCGTTCGTTATTTTACAGTTTGGAAAAAGTCCCTGCTGTTACTAGTTTGAAGTATCAAGGAGGTTTGACGCTTGCAGTAGGCACGTCCACTGGTCAAGTGCTGTTGTACGATGTTCGTTCGAGTAAACCATTTTTAGTCAAAGATCACATGTACGGATTGCCTATAAGAAGCATCGAATTCCATCAAACAATGGGCATGGTTTATTCTATGGACAGTTCCATCGTGAAAATTTGGGAGAAAGACAGTGTAAGACAATGGACATACGAAATATGCAACGTTGGTGAGAATGTCCTCTAAATGTTTCGAACTATTGTAGGGTAAATTGTACACGTCCATAGAATCACAACACGATTTTAACGATATGTGCGTTATTCCGAACACTGGGATGATTTTACTTGCGAATGAAAATACGAAAATGCAAACGTACTATATCCCCAGCCTTGGTCCGGCTCCTCAATGGTGCAGCTTCTTAGACAATCTTACGGAAGAACTGGAGGAAATGAATTACGAAACTATCTACGACGATTATAAATTCGTCACCGAGAAAGATCTGGAGGAGCTGGATCTTGTGCATTTGAAGGGTACCAATCTCCTTCGAGCTTACATGCACGGTTACTTTATGGATATTCGCTTATACAGAAAAGCGAGGGACGTGATGAAACCGTTTGAATTCCAAGAGTATAAGAAGAAAAAGATCCAACAAAAGATACAAGAGACCTGCGGTAGCAGGGTGCAGGTACTATTAAATGCGTTATTATTTATTAGCATATTCGACGCTTGCTCACGTGCGTTTACACACAGCTTGAAAAGATGCCGAGTGTGAATAAGGAACTCGCATTAAAATTAATGGACAGCGAGACGAATGCGAAAAAGAAACACAAGGGCTCTGGAAGTCTTTTGACGGACGACCGTTTCAAGCAGTTGTTCACCAATCCTGATTTCCAAGTGGATACGAACTCGCAGGAGTACTCGTTGTTGAATCCCGTCATTTCCCAGCTCAGTAAGAGCAAAGCAAAGAAACTGAAGTCCAGACCGGTGGAACCAGAGCAGACGGAACAAGAAACGAACATTCACGAAGACGAACACCATGGTTCTTTATATTTCGTGTACATCAATACGATCGAAGTAGGAGTACGAATTTCTTATACATTTCTTTTACGTCTGCAGACAGTTCGGATGAAAGTTTCATTCACGACGATAGCAGTTCCGAGGATGAGAAGCAGTGGGTGAAAGAAGTAAAGAAACAATATCGGTTAATAAAGAAGAACGAGAGGCAAGAGGAAGAGGACGAGCAGGAGGAAAATGACGCGGAGTCGGGCACGTCTCAGCCACGGTTTTACGAGATCAAGGACGGCGTAGAATTTAAAGACGCGAGGCCAGTGGGGTACATGCGAAGCAAGTACGTGTATCATACGAATACTTCGATGCGTCGTCCTGTTCTCGCGTTTCATTTATTATTCGTCATTGTTTAGAGCAACTTTGGGCGAGCGACTGAAAAGCCGCGGAACCGATGACGTTAACTATTCCAGTTCACGTGGTAACAGAGAGATGACTTTTGTCATGAAAAAGGTACACCGGGTGAATTACGCGCGCGTGCGATTTGTTTCGATGTTTATGTTTCGCGTATTTATTTTCAGAAAATGGGAGGACGTAGGAACTTACAGGTGAAGAGACACGAAAAGGGATACAGGCACCTGTTGAGGCCTGCGGGAAATTTATATAAGAAGAAGCGTTGATGTATGTTGTAGGCAAATAAAATATTTTAAAACGAATAATAATTCTATTCTTGGTCCCCTTCGCATTCCAGTTCCCCACCATCGCGTTCTATAAGCCGGCTATGCAATGAATAAAATAATTTATTTCGGCACGATTTATATACGTATGCTCGCGGATATCTTGACAGAGGTGAAGTGTCATCTCGGACTGGTGATATAATGAAATTCATCCGTTAGGGTGAATCAAGCCGCGTATACAGATACAAATGTTTTCTTTTCAAGTTCAAAACCATTGTACTCGCTTGTCCAGGAAAATGACACTGGTGAGTTTTTCCACTGTGCGTTTCCTTCGACCCTCTATTTCTCTCGATTACGCGTCGCTAGATTTATCGCGCCGCGATCTATACGCTTCGAAAATCTAGGAGGCGGTTAACATGCGTATTTGAACAGAGAGACAAGGTGATCGTTTCTATATATTTCGGTCATTGTTTACGTCGATCGGAAGCCTGTCTGTATGTACATTTTGTATTCGAATCACCTTTCGTCTCTGTGCTTTAGCTACGTTTGTCCGCTTATCTTTGCTCTTCATGGGTAATAGAATCTGGGTAATTGTATTTGGAAATAAGTGACCGCTGGCTCGGACAGATTCTAACTCGATCGTTTGCAGGCAAACTCTAACAATGAGTCAAAAAATGGGAAAGATCCCCCTCAACAAAATCATGAGGAAGCATTACAGGCGTCTACACCATCTGGATTATCGGATTTACAAATGCAAAGTACAGAGGTACGATTCGAGACGCTAGATCGAGATTTGGAATACATTTAATTTAATGATAGGTAGGCGAGATCACGGAAATGCCAGACTATGAAATGCTGAGCACGTCCGCGGTACTTCATTACTGTAAGAATAAAATACTGAGGCCGTATCTGAGACTGTTAGGAGTGATGGGTCTAAAACCAATAAGCAACGATGATGCAGAGAGATGCTCTCTTCTCTGTCTATTCACAAATCTTCACACCTTTCAAGTCACGATATTCATGTGCATCGGATACGTTTTACAGTACATGGCGTGCTTCAGGTAAAAAAGAATGCATGATAATCATAGATTCATTCGTACAACCGAACGAGGTACAAAATGTACTTGATGTTCCAGGAGAGACAGAGGTTTTTGTTATAAGACCACGCCCATGAAATTTGAAATGTTGTCCAATATTGGCAAAGAAGATTTTGCAGAAGTTGCCTGCTTCGGAAACATACTATTCAGTTACTTGATTCCCAGTATTCTGCATCTAAGTGCATATTTGTATACGGTTTATCTGTTTCGAATCAAAGAGAATGAACAGTTACAGAATTTGATGGAAAGGGCGTTCCTTCTGTCTTCGAATCCTGTGAATCGTGGAAATCAAAGGAGACTCGTGCGTATACTGTGGCTGTTTATAGCGTTCAGCCTCTTGTGGATAATCATGACACTGGTCACAGCAAATATTTTGATGGCTGAAGGAAGTATCGCATTTCAATGGCTGGAATACGGGTAATTGGATACGCAGAATTTTTAATCGAGCTCTCTTCGATCGGCGACGATAGAATAACATCGTTTTTCCTCTTCGCAATTCTTTCGAATCTATTTTTTGCACAGTCCGTATCACGTAGAAATAATATTGAAGGTACTTCTGATCGTCTGCACATTATGGCATGATATGGTTCAAGGAACGATCATTACTAGTTACTGCTTGCAAGGCCAACTTCTACTGGCACATCTCTACTTTCTTCGTGGAAAACTGCTTCATCATACCTTAGCGCCCATCGACTGGATGAAGGTTTGTAAAAATCGTGACGGAAACAAGGAAGATGAAACTTTCCTAGTCTACCTTTATGTCATAGGAACTCAGCGAGTTCAAAAAATTGTTGAAGTACTTCAACGACGAACTAGGGCCAGCCGTGTGCATTTACACGGTCGTCAACTTATCGTGGGCAGCCGCCGGCACCATTTGGCTGCTTCGATACGATAAGAACGACGAGCAAACCGATCCCGTCACTTGCATAGAGATAATAAACGTGGTACTGTGGATTTTAATATCGATAGTCCCTTTTATTCAGGTACGTACAGAAGGAATCGTACGCGCAACGAGAATACCGAACTTACGGAATTGTCGACAGGCTGCTCGATTGACTGCGGGTTGTTCTATGATACAAAGTATCGGGCACGAGGTACGAATTCGCCCATTCGTCTATCAAAGCACTCCGGGTGAGGACTTGGACACGATACTTTTATACACGTCGTCGCTGAAGATGTGCGCCAGGCTTTTCAGAGTACCGATCACGGGCAGATACCTTTGTCTATTTCTGACAGCGAGCAGTATCTTAATACTTACATTAGGGCAATGCCAATTTTTCCAATAAGTATCGCCGGTGTCCCTCTATAAAATATGTATTCCTTTTGTACATACTGTTCCCATTTTACCTGTATAATATCGATCTCCTTTTAACTTCGGGTGTAAATAAATTACACAGCGTTCACGCTTTTCTTTCGCCCCTCAATAAATCGGAAAATCTCATCAGTAAAGCGTTCTTCGAGGACGAACTCCTGTATATTTATTGCGATAAATATATCCTTATTAAACGATGCAATTCTCGAGCAGCTACTCGTAGAGAAATCAACAATTTAAGAAATAAATAAGTTACAATTTTTTACACGATACGTCACTTTCATGTATGTACCACCTAGCTTAACCTGATTGTTCGTGTCGGTGCGTGACGAACACCAACGAGAAGTCTAATTGAAACCTCACGTCAATGTTGTTTTACTCTCGGACAAATCGAGTTGTGCATATTAAAAATCATTGATAATCGCAGTTAAGGACGATGGATTTGCTAGGATCTATCTTGAATTCGATGGACAAACCCCCGTCCGTCAGTGACAAGCAAAAGGCGTTAATGAAAAGTTAGTTTATCTGATACGTACATATATCGCAAATATCTTGAACGCGAGTATCGTTAGATTATTAATAACTTTTACTGTGTAGAGCAAAAGGAAGAATATCAGAAGCATCAAAAAGCCGAGGCTGAGAGGCTAAAAGTTTTCCGAGATAAGGTTACAGTTTTTCGTCTATGTATTTCTCTTTGTTATAAGTTGTTTCACGTTTATACGGTATCGTTTGTTTTGTGATTAATTAGGTCGAGAAGAAAATTAGCAAGTTTCTCCAAGACGATAATGCCAAGGAATACAAGTTCCCTCCAATGGATCAAATTCAAAGAAGCATAATGTATATAAAAGAAAGATTATCATTTAAACCCTTGTCGATGCAATTCCTTCATGTCCTTTGTTGTATGATAGACACGACGCTGCTGAAGTTGCAAGTATATGGGCATACTCATTCGGTGAAGAAGGAGTTGATCGTCACATTATTCTTTTTAAAAGAGAACATGCTCCATCCGAAGATCAGTTGAATGCCTTACGCAGAGGAGAGGAATGGAACGAGGATATAGCGAGAAGATTGGCAGAGGAAAGGGAGAGGAGAGCCAAGGAGGAACAGGAGGCTGCTTCGAGACCTAAGAAACGAAAGGATGACTTTGTACCAAATAGCTATTACAAGGATAAGTATCAGCATTTGATCGGAAAGGAAGCCGCTCTTGAAGCTGCAAGAAAGACGGAAGCTAACAGTAGCTATGGTTGTGGTATGTGAACACGATCCTTCGTGATGACCGATTTCCAATGCATCTCATTTAATAATCAAATCATTTCAGTTCCTAGTCAAAACAAGAAAGATCAACGAAGCATAGAGCAAACGCTCGCCGATATACGGGCGAAAAAGAGAAAATTGGGAAACACGGACGAATCGAAGCAAAAAGACGAGAATAGCAAATAAATATGTATTTCATTTCTTATTTGTAAATAATTCGTGTTAGGCGTATAATATAAAATTCAACATTTCTCTACATAAGAATGTTTGCGTCTATCGGATCGTAGCTCGTAAATCTCATTTCGTTACTTGTACACATGTGATAAGGAAAGAAAAGAATTTTCATTTTCGATACATATATATATATATATATATTTTCTAAAAGGTTCGAGTTAAGTTATATGTACAATACACGTGATACGCGCAGCGCGTAGGCTGCGAAACATACTCTTTTAAAATTATTTCCTATTAAATGTACTCGGTAGTGGAGTACTTCGGTACCGAGGTTCTCGGAGCAGGTATCGGTTTGTTTAAAGACGAAGGCGAATCGACGACGATCTGTTCCTTCAAACCCAACAGCTTCTTAAAGATCTGGCTCGTCGCCGATTTGTAGAGCTCCAGTCCTCGCATGATCACGACATTTCGAATATACGACGCGTTATCGTGCACTAACTGTTTCTGAAAGCGGATCGGAGAAATAAGTTTTATTTAAATGCACGTGAATTACTACAAAGAGAAATGGAAGTCGCTTACCTCCTGTTTCAACTTCGGGTTCGTCAACGATGCGACGAGGTGTTGCACTTGAACTCGCATCACCGACACCAATACTCCGTCGATCATCGTCATTAATTCCGGCGTGGCGATACTGAGACAATCTTCCAACAAACTTACGTATATCTTGGAGAACGTCAGAGTGTTATCGGTCAACGCTATCCAGAAATCGTTCTTCAAGTAAGACGGTGGTACAGTTATTCCACGATCGTCCATTTCCGATAGCAACTTTTGAACGTTTTTACTGGTTTCTAAGTTCGTCGGCCGCCAAGAGTCTTCGGCTATGTGCGTTTTTACGATCTCGATGTACTTCTCGCCCGTGTCCTGTATCGCTTTCGCCAGCGGTGATCTGAGTTGACCGTCCAATTGGTAACGGAAGTCCAATCCTAACTGCGTCAACTGAAAATCGAGCGCGATTAAAGGTATGAGCTGCCAGAACGTAATATACACCGTCTTACCTGATCACAGTGAGTTCGAACGGAGACTATGCATTCCACCAACGTGCTCAGAGACACTTGCGGGGTAAAAAGCTGTTTAGTCAAATGCGTCGTCAAGTGCTTCACCTCCTGGCTGCACCAGACGACCAGACCTGAACCGTACGAGCATAAGAATGAAATGGCATGTCGATTTAATTCGTCAGTTTCAACTTACCAGACGTACAGTTCGTCGACTGCGGGAAAATACTTAAAAACTCTTTGGTAACTTCCACGATATTGCTGAAAGCGATCGCGCTAAGCTGTTTCACGTACGGTACAGTAGCCCCTTCTCTCTTGATACGTTTCAGTCGTGCTTTTAACATCGCGCTGCACAGTCGCAGGTACAACTGGCACGCTTGTGCGCTTCTGTTTAATTGTATTAACAATTTTACAACGCGCCGCGCGCTTCTCAAACCGCCACCCTGAAGCGACTTCGCTTCCGCGCTTAATTCGAGTTCCTTCGTTAGAACTTCGACCAGAGATCTCCCTCTGTCGTTCACCTTCGATTGAATCTCGAGGAGCTGCGGCGTGGTCTGGGCATCCTTCAAATACATTTTCGCCTTCTCTAGGAAGCTGTAAGCCTCCTCGAAGTGGCGTTGCGCTATGCAGGAATCTAGATCCTCCGCTACTTCTAGCATCCACTCCGGCGGTGGCTCGTGATATTCTGTATCTTCGTCGTCTATACCTACAAAAGAACGACTGAAAAATTTAATTCGGTTTAATTTAATGGAGCCGAGTTCAGTCTATTTCCTCGCGAATCGTCGAGCATACCGAGGGTGTTGGAATCGAGCGACGTCGATCGCGAGGGCATCGTTGCCTTCTCTTCTTTCGACCGCTTGTCCGTCGCGACGGCTGAATTATCTTCGGCGAGTTTCATTCGCTTCGCTTGTTCGCATTTGTCCAACCATTCTTTCTGTAAAACGAACCGTACTTCAAGTTCGCCTCTCGCGGAGTTTCAACAATGTAAAACACTAACTTTGCTCGTCGCTGTCGCGCATTGGAACAGTCTCGTGTCCGAGAACGCCAGAAGCTTGAACGCCAGTTTCACGGTTCCGAGGTCTCGGACGTTGACGATGGCTAGACTCTCGAGATTGTACACGGCTTGCATTTTATATCTGGTCGGTCCTCTTCTACCACCGTTTGTCAGCCAAGAGGCAATCATTAAGATATCGTTGAATAAATAAGCGTGAACCCTCTTCAGCGGTGTCCCTTCCAAAGAATCTAGTTCTAATAAAGAACCCTCGTGTAGACACACACGTCCAGGCGTCTCTGCTAAACTCTGTGAAATCGAATCGAGAGATCTTCATCCGTGTCACGGTCACGATTGTTTCCCACGACTTACCATAGCACCTTCCACGTTTTCCAGAAGTTGCACCAGTTTCTGCTTCTGCTCTTCCTCTTTAGCAGTAGAATCGTTAACGCTCTCCAACTGGGATTCAGAGAGGTCCTCGAACAGGACACCGGTAGTCCTGGCGGATCCTAAAGTACTCAACAATGATCGTTGTTCACTGAGCAACTGCGACAATTGGTACATCTCGCTTTCCAAATGCGAGATTTCCTTGGCAGTCTCGATGAACTGCATGTAATTCTGATAAACATTGCGTTTCAGTTGAGCGGACGTGTTGTTCGCGAGCTCTTGAATCTTCGCTCTCTGGTGCCTCAGCTCGTCCGCTCCGACGCATTGCGCGCTGAGCTCCTTCACAACTAGAACACGAAAGGAATTCAGATACGTACAGACTTGTCAAACGAAAGTCAAATCGCGTGCGGAGCAAAGCGTGCGCTCGTATATTTACTCACATTTCTCGGGATTGAAGTCTTCGGTCGCGAAGACTTTTGCCAAACTGTTGGCCATCGTAAAAAGATGCTCGCTACCTAGCTTTCGAATAAATATCCTTCATTTATCGCCGAGTATGAAAACGGGTTAAAAATCAGTTTCCCATCAAGCTCGACTCACTTTCCGTCGCGTCATCCGTATTACTAGCGATGTAATACTCCGCTACTTCGACTCCTTCGAATTTCATATCGATATCACGGAACGAACAACGAATTCATATATATTCACCGTAGCATCGTTATCGTTGCCCTTTAACTTAAAAGCTTTTGTTCTAATGACATTTCTCACTTCGCCCTGCTACGTACGTGTATATACGTGTTGATGCGTAGGTGGCACTTCTCGCTTTACGGAGAAATGTATAGGACGTGTGGAGCTGCGGATTATTTAACAACAAAAAGTTGTGCGGGCTAAATCACAGTCGTTTAAAGAGATTAAACGTAAATTAAAGGAACGCTTCACGTGTCCAAGAAATTTCGCTCACGACCGTTGATCCACGATTTTTAACCTGAAGGATAAGAGCTTTCGTTGCACCGGTACCTAGTTGAGAGAATGAAAAATTAATTGGGGAATCGGGAGCGATGAACGTACAAAAGATGATGCCAATCGCATTGAAAGATTCGGAAGCTAAGGACGGTGATAGCAGAGGTACGATCAAAGTTATGGATAGGCCAACGTTTATATTGAAAACTAGAGAAGGCGAGAACAGAGCAGTATCACCGAGTCAACGTAACGGTGCTAACAAGTATAAATCATTTCCTGTGTAAAATGCTTATTCGTAAATGATAACTGGTTAAATCTTGTGTATCAAACCGTAGAAAAGAGACCGATACAGCTACCAATGCCCCGTCAAAGATACAGGATCGTAAGTTTTGTATTGTCTATTCACAAATCGATGTCGAATTCGAACACGCGATCAATTTTCAGCCGTTCGTATGATGTTGCCGTCGTGCCTCGAAATGACGAGCTGCCTGAAATTCATGGACGAAAATATGCAACTCTGCGAAAGCTCTCTGGAATATTTGTACGACCAACAGGACTTCTTGGTCGTGGGATGCTTGGGCAGTCAGGGGGTCGGAAAGTCCACTATAATGTCTTTATTAACGTCCAATTTTGCGTGAGCATTACACGTTTCAAACCCGATACCATTGACCTCGGATAGTTCTCTTACTGGTATCCTTCGTCAGGCCAGGTATATTCCCGGCTCAGGAGACGTCCCATTACGAGAGCGGTGCAAATTGCACCACTGGTATCGACTTCTTCGTTACGAAAAATCGTGTAATATATTTGGACACGCAGCCCATACTCTCTGGTTCGACGATAGATCACTCAGCGACGTACGAACAGAAAAAATCGACGACGGACTTCGTGAATACAGAGACCAACCTGGAGTTGCAGTCTCTGCAGTTCGCAGCTTTTCTGTTCTCGGTTTGCCATGTGATTATTTTTGTACAAGATTGGTTCGTCGATCCTAATCTGATCAGGTAAACGAGAAGCACGTTTTCGACCGGTTTCGTCTCAGTCCTGATTGAAACACAATATTCGTAGATTTCTGCAGACTGCAGAAATGTTAAAACCGTCCTCGACCAGTAACATGGATCAAGACTACGTTGAGTATTACCCGCATATCGTGTTTCTGCACAATAAAGCTGAGCTGCAAGACCTTACTCCTCACAGTATGGAGAAGGTGAAGGTAATGAAAGATGAACACGCGTCCCGTTGAGCCAGTGATCCCGTGCGATGCTTAATTGCTTGTGTAATTGCAGGAATTCTATAGCAAAGTATTTTCCAGTTCTAGATTGCAGACTCATAGTGGTTTAGACATGAGTAATCATTCGATGGAAACAGGATTGAATTTGTTTTTTATTCCTCGCATCGCGAGCGAAGGTATCATTGTTTTTCCATTTCGTTTTGTAAACGTTCAACTGTTAAACGTTAAATATTTTCACTTCGTTTTGCCGTAGAGGAATCGCCGATGCGTCAGAACGAAAAAAAACTAATAGAGAAGTTAAAAATAAAGATACACGGGATCAACAAAAATCCAATGACACCGTCCAGTTTGACAGAAAAAAATTGGTACGTGTAATAAGAGAATGGTAGTAATATATATAGTTTATCCGACAATTGATCCGTAATCGTGTCGCTCAGGTACCATTACGTTTCGAGAGTGATGGAAGCGATCAAGAAAAGTCATCTGTCCTCCGAGTATGGAAGACTGATGCCGTAAAACAATTGTAGGTAGTTTTCAATTTTTTTATTTGAAGAAAAATCATAGACTCCTTAAACAACTGAGAAATGTATATAATCTTAATGTGTACGGAATTGAATAAAATGAGATGAGAAAAAAATGATCACCGGCGCAGCAGTCAAACGGGACGAACATAATTCTTAGGAATAATCTTCTTGCTCTTCCTTGTTATCGGCCTGTTGCATCGAAGCCATTTGCACCGCCGCTTGCAGCTGTTGCCATTGCTGTTGTTCGGCTATCGCCTGTTCCTCTCGCGCCTTGGCGAACAGTTCTTGTTGTTGCCTGAGAAGTTCCTCCTCCGGGATCCCCAGGTTCTCTAATCTGGTGCTCTGACGTCTCCGTTTAGCCGCTACGGCTTTACAATCCCGCAGAACCGCCTCCGCTTCCGCGCTGTAATCCCCGAATCCGAGTTTCTCTAGAGCTTGGAGAACGTGCTCGGCGTTTATAGTCTTCTTCTGTTGCTGATTACAAATGTCGTTCGCTTCCGAGGAGATCAAATGAATGAACTCCGTGCAACAGTTCAATATGAGTTCGCGGGAGTCGTTGGCCACGCGAACATGCGGCAATATTTCCTTGATCATTTTGTTGATAGACGCGCGGGGCAGGGTCAATTCGTCGTCCTCGGTCGGCGATGTAGTGGCCGAGGCCATTATCTAAAACAATGCAATTTGATGTAAAGAAATAACAAGTACGAAAAATAAAATTTACATGCTAATCGTATCGCGCCACTTTTTCTTTCCTCGTTTCTTTCCCTTTCCTACCAACCTTCGCCTTTTCAATAAGTGTGTTTCAACAGTTGTTACATTTAAAATTATCTAAATTTATTACGCGTGTCGATAATTCGAGTCTCAAGCTTATCACGTTATCGCGTATTATTAAGTTCCCAGAGCTCATCGCGGCAGATTATCAGATAAATTAACGAATGCTTAAGCCCTCGTCTGGTTTGTCCGATTAAGTATGATCTTATAGTATTACCGTCGCGTTATTCGAAGTTCCAAAATGAAATGGTCGCGCGAGTTCAATTGCTGTTCGTATACTTTGCGCTCGTTTCGTTTTCTTTACGCTACGAGACCTGTGCGAGAAATACGAGTGATTTAGTCGGTGCTGTCCGAAACTTAAGTGTGACGGTGTTACAAACTCGAAAGTACGTCGAGCCGAAAGACGTGTATAACTTTTTGAAGCTGAACGTATCTTGGTTGCCGCCGAGTACCGTCCGGCAGCCTTCCTTTTATAGGTAAAAACTGATCGACGATCGCGAGTGAGCGTTTCGTTGTTAATTCTTTTTTCGTGTGATCACAGCGTTGGGGTAACGGAGATACAAGAGAAAAACGGTGCAACGGAATGTACAAATGCAACCAAGTTCTATTATATATATAAGGAGCGACTCAGCGCGCTAATACCTAATGACAATAATTTCTCCGGTGTACCTGAATTATATATTCAACCTAATTGTTCTTACAAAGTGCAAGTTATTGCCAATCCAAGCATGAACAACGGCTCCGAAGTACGTAGTTCGTATGCAGCTGTTACAGAAACGAGAATCGTTTGACTTTGAAATTTTGCAGGTATTCGTTAAGGTTCCCGAATGCGTTGGGCTGACGTGCAGTTGTATCTACGCGAAATCTTCGATACCGATTCCCAAAGTTAACGTTACTCAAACGGAGAACCTTGTAATCGTAAATTGGAGTCCAAATTTCAACGCGTCCAATGTTCGATATTACGCAATCAGGTACGCGCGAAAAAGATCGCGTGCGATTGAGCGTCTTTGAGATAATTGATCGTCTTCGACTTATCTTCAAGTATAATTAGGAATATTTTGTAGTATCGGGGTTCCTGTCTCAAAGTCGACGAAAGGGCTACCTATTTATAATGTGATGAAAGTAGGGCAGGTCCTCGCGAACAAAACTACGTTCGCATCGAATTTCAAACCTAATGCGAGCAGCTATAAAATCATAGTAAATGCGATTGATGTCGACGGGTGTTCCGGGCCAGAAGGAAGCCTGGTTATCCATTCATTGCAGAATCATGTCTTGAATCACAACATAGTAAGTGGTTTCGGTAAATAATGAGAACGTATCTCACATAAAATGTATCCCGTTGCCTTTCAGTTGTTCATAGTAATCGGCATAGCGTCAAGTAGTGCCCTGCTTGGAATCTTAGGTCTCATATTATATTATAAACATAATTCCTTTGGGAAAAATAATTTTATCGGATACAAATCTCACTGGATGGAAAATATACTCAAAAGGCATAACATTCTGTACATCAGACACGAGTTACAGGTAGGCTGGCTGTCTTCACTGGTCGAATACCGGCTTAATTTAAATGATCTCTGCAGGAGGAATGTATAAAGGAAGAGTCTAAATCGAAATTGTTCCAATCTGTAAAATTGATACGTGAACTGGGAACTGGACAGTTTGGAATGGTATATCTCGGCCAGTTGGACGATGCAAACGCTACTTTGGTGGCTGTAAAAATGTCCCAGAACGTGGACATTGACGACGAAAATAGGGAACAGTTCATCCAAGAGATTGAAATGATGAGAATGGCAGGGAATCATCCTCATTTAGTAAATCTCATAGGCTACTGCACTCAGCCGACCCAACCGATATGTATCTTGTTGGAATACATGCAAGGTGGAGATCTACTGACTTACTTGCATCGTCAGAGGAAACAGCTGGACGATAAAATACATTACCAAAACGAAGATGTAATACAAGATTTATACAGGTTACAGGCTTCCAAATGTAAGTAGGCCCTTTATAAATTACTAGTGATCGATCTTCATACCGTTGGTTTTCAGCATTATACACTGCCATATCCGACGCAGTGAACAGTTACAAATTTAATGCTAAACATTACACGAACGTCGCTAGCAAAGAACGATCCGAAAATGAAACAGAGAACAGGATCGGTAAAATGGAGAGACACAGATTTTTAATGTTCGCCAAAGAAATAGCCATGGGTATGGAACATTTGGAAGCAATAGGAATCATTCACAGGGATCTCGCGGCGAGGAACATTCTCCTTGGGGCAGATTTGACTGTCAAGGTACCTGAGCTCGCTTCAAAGATCTCGAGGGTAGATTCTTATCGAATCAAAGTATTTTTCTTTAGATCTCCGACTTCGGGCTTTCGCGTAACGGAATATACGTGATAAAAAGTACAGAGGGAAAAGTGCGTCGTCTCCCTATCAGGTGGATGTCACCGGAGGCTTTATACGATCGCACATTTTCGTCGAAGAGCGACGTGTGGTCTTTCGGGGTGGTACTTTGGGAAATGAGCACGTTAGGTGGTTTTCCCTACTCGAACGTACAGGACGATCGTTTATTGCGCTACGTTATTCACGAGAACGGTCGATTGGAACGACCGGATGATGTGCCTACGAACGTTTACGAGCTGATGGATTCTTGTTGGGCCAAGGAGCCCGAAGATCGACCAACCTTCGCGCAACTTCATTCCGAGATACAAAGTCTGATAGTAACACCGTCTCTCGAAGATACGCTTACTACAGTATCTAATCCTTGTTACGCGTTTTCAGATTCAAACAAGATCACGTAGCGTACGCGATCTTTTTTATAAGAACAATTATGTAAGGTGGTTTTGAATGTTACTTACATGCTAATCTTTTTTACGGATACGGCCAGGTTTCTTTATTAAAACGTCACACAACGAAGTCCTCCGCATTTAGACAATTAATCTCCCACCCGGCTCTCTTTTCTTTATTTGATAACCGTTTAAATGGGTATTAAAGTTCGAGATCAACAGCATCAACAGTTCGCCATGTCCAATTGCATCCAATTGTTAATTCGACAGGTGGCGCCATGGTTTCAACTCATCGATCGTAGTTTCGAACTTTTAAGGAAGATCGCGCCACTAGTCCGTTGAACTTCCGTGTACACCGGAGCTGACCGGAGCACCGGAGTTCGTGTCATCGTTTATCTCTTCATTATTCATCGAATTCTCAATTAACGAAAGTATACAGAAGGTGTTTCATTGAATTCGTTCTTATCTTTGATTTCCGTATCGCCGACAAGTGCTTTCGTGTTCTGTCGAAGTCAGATAAGAGATTTCGATCGCGGTTTTTGCGAACATGGTTACGACTTGCTGTCATCATTAAAGCTATCGAATAATACAACTAATCGCGTCATTTTAATGTGAAGTGTCAATAAAGGAACAGAGGGGAAGAAAACATGAACGAAGAGACGGGAGAGGTTGCAGGTTATGACACCGCCATAGATGGTAAGTTTATCTTTATTCGTTCGTCCTTCGTATGGTACAATGCATCTCCATATGATAAGTCAATAAAACGTGTCCCGTATTTGCGTTGCAATACTATTCGAGGCTCGTTTAACGTTATATATACATAGTTCGAACAGTATTCGATGTCCGCCCTTCGTGCGTTGATCGTGACGCCGGTCACGAACAAAAGTCAGAGTTAAACGTTAGCTAGCGTTAAGTCGCCCAGTCGGGAAATTCGGACAGGTCAAAAATGTACGAGCCCCACGTGGAAAAGGCCACCGTGGTAATCAGAAGCGTGATCACGCTCGGTCCTATTCCGGCGATCGCCAAGTCCCTCGTTCTTATTTGTCCGGCGGCAGTGACAATCGCGTTCGGCGGGGTGCCGACCGGCAGATGAAACGAAAACGAACAACACAGCGCAGCCGGCATCATCAAGTACAACGGATGTATTCGTATAGCGATGCACTGAAACGATGCATGCCTCGTTATCATTGTAACGATAAAAGAGGAAGCGGTTACCATTGAAAATGTTCCTTACCATTTCCGCTAACACCGGCAGAATGATGTTCGCGACGGCGACGTTCGAAGTCAGCTCCGTTACCATTTCCGCGAAAACGCAGACGGTGCAGAGTATCGCGAACGGATTTATCGACTTCAAGCTAGACAACGCGTTTCCTATGATCGAGGACAGTTTCGAGGAAGTGCTCCCGGCGGAAATCGCGAATCCACCGCCCAAGACCAAGATCAGGCTCCAGTGCATTTTCTGTTGTATCATCTTCCAAGTGACCATGCTCGGCGACACTTTGTTAGGCCGGTTCTTCGGCTCCGAGTCGAACGACCGGAGGAAATCGAGTTTCGACGGTAGAACGAAGAAGAGGATGGTAACCAGAGCGGCTGCCGTAGAATCTTTGACCTTTCTGCAACCGTTTATATTTATATGCGCGAGAGTCCAACGACCGAGTCACGGGGTCAAAAAAAGTGCAGCTGATAAGAACTGTAAGATGCGTACGAGTCGGTGATGTAAGTCGGCCAGCCAGGGACGAATCCCGGGCTTCGGAAGAACCAGAGGAGAACGACGGAGACGAAGAGGAACCCGACGACGGACTCGTGCCACGTGATCGGACCGAGTTCCTTGTATTTCTTGTCGATCACGGCCGCGGCAACTCTCTCCCCCTGTTCACCGATATCGGCGGCTAACGCGTCCTTACTTTTGGGCCTGAACATTCCCATGTACACGACGTGCAACCAGAGCCACGTGAGGAGACCCATCAGGAGCATGGGTGGGACCGAGTAGAGCATCCACGAAGTCAGGCTGATGCCCTGGCTGTTCGGGAATCGCCTGCGACCGAAACGAATCATCCGTTTATCTCTTTAAGTCGGCTCAGTCGTTCGCTCAGATCCTTACTTCTCGAAGAATCCTTTGAGAGTCAAGTTGGTACCGGTTCCAACCAACGTGCCGATGCCTCCGAGGCTAGAAGCGTATGATGCCACGAGGTAGTACACCATAGTGATGTTCGTCGGTCTCTTGGCCCTGAAATCGTCGCAGAGTTAACAGATACCACCGACGCATCGTTCAGTCAGGCTACATACGATTCTGTTCCCTCTTCGCCGCCCTTGTTCTCCTCTCGTACGAACATGTCGCCCAGGCCTTGCTAAAAGTTGCAAATGAATAAACTTGAATCCTCGTCGAGCGACCGGCGGGGGAGGCTTACCGTTTCCAGTTCCAGGAGGACGGTCTCAACGATGGGCAACATCATCGCGGTAGCGGCAGTGTTGGAGATCCACATCGATAGGAACATCGTCACGCAGAACAGGCCGAACGTTAATCTATGAATTCGATCACTTTTCGGATGAACGCGAAACTCATTTTCGACGATCGCAAATTACCTCCGATGACTACAGCCGACCGTCTTGATAATCAACAGCGCTATACGCATGTGCAGGCCGGAGTTCTCGATCGCGATCGCTATCACCATGCTTCCAATAAACATCATCGTCGTATCGTTCATGTAGCAAATACACGTTGTGTTCGTGTCCATAATACCCATCAGCGGATAGAGAACGACCGGGAGCAAGCCGGTGATCGGCAAGGGAAGAACCTCCGTCACCCAGAACATGGCCATCAGACCGACCACGTACAAGCACCGCATCGCCGTCGCCTGCGTTCATCGATTCTTGTTACGTTGTGCGAACAGAGAAAAAGGGACAACGTGAAACGAACCTCGCCGGTCTCGACGAGAACGATGGGCAGCAAGATCAATGGCCATAGCACGATCACGATCGACCTCCAGTACAGCGAGAGGAACCTCGTCAAGGGTCGGACGAAGCCGTCGTTTCTTCTGAAACACCCGATTGATCGATTCACCGTTCGAATCTCGAGTATGGACAACGGTAACAGGTGGCAACGGGAAAACGTCGTACGTCTCCCGACAGTTGGATTCTAGCTGTTAACGTACCTTCGGTTCCTCGCGGCGTCCACGACCTCCGGATGCAGGGCGTCGGGTTGCGTGGCCATTGCCCTATCAAAGCGTTACGTATCTGAAAAAATGAATTCAATTACGCACATGAGTATGGAATTGTGCGTTTATACTCCCAGCTGGCGCGAGTGCCACCGTCGCGATCAGACGAGGCGCGAGGCGCGAACGACACTGGCAGACGTGCACTCAGGCTCGCGTTTCTTATTATGCGGCTAATAACAAGCGACGGGGTCCTACGGGTTTCGAAACCGATGTCGGACGCGCGTTTCCTTACAATTGAATCGGCAGATAACGATACACAAAGAGTTGCGTAATCCGTGATTCTTTATTATTCCGTGCCGTCTGTCCCCCGGCTTCCCCCTTCGTTTTACGGCCTGCTCGGATTACGGGTCAAATAATTTCACTACGAACCACGCGAGATTGACCTCGAGGGCCCCGTGGCTCGCGATCATTCAGCCCTTGCCGTTCGTTTTACATACGTATGTTCCACTTGCGGCTCTTTCGTTACCAGTCACGTCGCTCGGCGTTGTTTCTTCCTGTATCGTTTATTTTGACGGCTCCTCTAAACATCGATCACGCTACCAGCGCAATCGGTCCGACCCTCCTATCGCGACGGAATTCGCAACAATTTTTTTTACGACACGGCTGAAGGAAAATAAACGTTGCTCATTGTCCCGCGTACGTCTCCGTGTCGCGAGGGACCAGGTACCGCGAGATAACGAGATCTATCAAAAAATTATTGTTACAAATCCGCTAATTCGCGTTGCGTGCAAACAAATTTCACAATCCCGTGTTATTCCTTCGCCCGACCGACGCTCGCGTTCCGCCACTCACTATTCGATCGCCGTCACGGCGACATTCGTTTCTTCTAAGCGCAAAGCCGATCGACGTAGAATGTAAACGAGATTTCGAACGAACCCTCGGTTACCGCGTGTCGTTCGAATCTCGTTCAGTGCGGACTCTCACGTTCGGTTCTTGCCCTCTTGTCCAGCACACGCTGCAGGATCCTACGATTGAGTCGTCACCCTTCTCTTTTACTCGCCGTTGCTACCTCTGCTTCTTCTTCTTCTTCAACTCTGCTTTTTGCTCGTGCCCGTTTACCTCCCTCGCGGTTCGTCTTCTTCTCCTGTATGTACGGTTGGTTCTCCAACGACTGGTGAACTGAACTCGTCGAGGCAGCGACTCGCGGCGAACGCGTCGTTCCCCGTCCCTCGACCTTGATACATCGATGTTCTTGTTGCACCGATGTTTCTTATTACTCGTAAACGCGAACCGACAATCATAAGCAAATGAAATTGCGTTCCCTTCTCGTCATCTCGTCAGAGCACACGTGACAGCGTTCGAGGTTCGTTTCGAGGCTCGGTCTCCGTCCGTCTCTCTGTTCGAGACCGGTCGCCGCGTTCGACGCTGAGGAAATTAGGGAAAACGATGCACGCGTTTCTCGTTCCGATAATTGTGCGTTTAAACGAGACGAAACAGAGATAGAGTAAGCAACGTTTAAATCAATTTAAATCGAGTAATTAATCCCGCTCACGCTGCTGTTCGTCCTCGTGTTTATTACGTGACGCACCTCGTACGCGGACCGTTGCTTCTGGAAAATATACCGTTGAACGGCGTACCCTTCTGCCACTGGTATCGTTCGTCGCGTTCGACCCAACCGAGTAGGGGGACAAAAAACGTGCACGCGTTGATACGACGATGTCATCGTTATCGGGAACACTCATTATTTAACCCCTGCTTTCTCCGTCCATTAACGAGTCGAGTATGTGGTCCCTGTTATTAGGAAATTTAATACGTTGAGTGGCACGCGAATTCTTAAGGAAATTGTCAACACCTACGAAGGACGAATGTTATCGTTGCTTCGATACGACGGAAGACACAAAATTTATCTATGCTGTGATGTAATTTGGCAGTGTTGAGGAATAAGTGCGCTCCGTTGTTTATTCGTGACGCGTTTCGAACGCACACGAGGGAACGAACTCGCGCGAGCTAGATCGCTTGGATTCGGTTCAAATTTATACGATTCCAAGGCCGTCTTACTTGGGACAGCACGATCGACGTTTGCGAGATACGCGACGAACATCGTTAAAAGTTACGGATCTGACCGGTACTCACGATTAAATTTTCAGAAAAGTACAGAGTCTACGCGAGCGTGTCGTTCGCGGTGTTGCTCCTGGGCGTGGGCGTCCCCATTTGGTGGTACACCACCGCGGTGCCGCGGGTTCCGCTTCCTTACGCCGGGATCGAGCAGCTGTCGGACCTCGAGATCACCGTCAGAACGAGACTCGTGGTCGCGGCACTGTCTCAAGACCGAGCCGAGTCGTTGGCGCGCGACATAAGCGAGGCATTTAAAAACACCAGTGAGTAACCGCGGAGAACGTTTCTCTTTCTGTTCGGTTTATTAAAAGCGCCTCGTTGCAGGTATTTATCGAATAGAGGTGGTTCATCGTGTGATATCCAGCAATTTGGTGGCGTCTGCCTTTACGCATCACGAGCTAGAGAAGATAGCGTCAATCTTCGATCTCGACGTCGGTCAGCTTCTGCTGTTGGAAACGAACAATCTCAACGACGCGGTTCTCGTCGGATCGAGAAGAACCGTTTACTTCTCCACCGAGACCAGTAAGCATCGGTTCGTACACAGTAGTTTTTTCGATACGAGCAAGAATTCTGTTTTAGCCAGTTCCACTCTGATTCGCGTTTTGTCCGAATGGATACTGCTCGAGAAGTCGCTGGCGCTGACGAGGAACGCGCTCGCCGAGCCGACCCTCTACAGTTTGGACGAGGAGAACAGGAGGAGGTTCCCGGCCAGCTCGGCTTACGACGTGCTGATCACCGTCGTCAATCCCGATCCGGAGAAGCTGAGACTGACCTGGGACCTACGCTCGGTGACCGAAGGTATACCTACCCTCAAAGACGATCTCGTTCTTCGGTTAACGCCTGCCGCTTCCTTCAGAATACGTCGATCCGTTCCTCAGTCAGCTCTCGGTGTTGAGTGACTTCACCGTCAAGTCGCAATGGTTGTACTTACTTCCGTTGGACGTGAATCCGATACGAGTCCCCGACAGTTGTCCTCTGGGCAGGCACTTCGCGCTCACGGAGGATGTGTTACCTCAACTAATTACACCGTTGGAAAAGAAATTAGGTATTGTCTCGTAATTTTATTTTGGGAATTCGTGCTAAATGGCCATTGTCTTTCAGCCTCGCACGTGAGCCTGCACCCGACGATCAACTTCGTCATCTACGCCGTTCCTTGTGACAGCGCTCCGTTACATATTTACACGCGTTCCGGTCATCGGTCGAAGATCAACGCTAACGTCGAAGCGTTTCTTTCGCCGAGGTACGCTAACACTTTTACTCTCTGCTAGCTACGATCGATGACAATCGTGTTCTCGCAGATGGGGCGGCGTGGTGTTGATCAATCCGCCAATGGAGGCTTGCATGGCCGCGAAATCGAACGAATCGGTTCACGTTTATCCCGAACGAGCCACCGTCGTCGGAACTTTTCTCACGCAGTTGAAGCTACTCCTGGGCATTCCTGAGCCGGTGATTAACGCTTTTCCGACTTGTCTCGTTCGATCATCGCTCGTCTCCGTTCGACGGATATCCTTTGTGGAATTTTACAGAAGTTCTTGCACGGCGTCACCACGGTCCCCTCGGTGGGACTGAAACTCCGCGACTGGGAGATCGACGCGTTACTTCGCGTACGAACGATCGAACAACTGACGTCGGCAAAATTGACTCTTCAGTCGCTCGCTCGGCTTCTTCAAGAGATCGGTAATATCGTCGTTACAGACGTCGTGGGAAACAGGATAAAGTCGGCGTTGCATCTGGTCGAGAGCTCGGCCGAACGACTGGCGAACGGTGATCTGGCCCGAGGATTCCCGCTGAGCAAGGAAGCGTTCGTCACTGCCGAAGCAGCCTTCTCCGATTCAACGCTCACGGCCCTGTTGTATTTTCCTCAGGATCAGAAGTAATTATTCTCGTTTCGACGTCTCTGTCTGTCGCTTCGGGCTCTCTCAATCTCGCTGTTTGTTTGCATTTCAGGTATGCCGTGTACACGCCTCTCTTTTTGCCGGCGATGGTACCGGTTCTACTTTCTTTGAAAAATATCTATCGGTATTTCGCCGCGCGGACAGCCGTCTCCGCGTAACGGTAGATAGCTCGCAATCGATCTCAGACTCGTTCCATTGTTTCGCAACTGCGATACGGATAAGGAGAGAAAGAACGACACCAAGAATAAAAACAATATTTTTTATTGTACAAAGAAATTGCTGATCAAATTGTAAAAACAGCGGAGGAGGGGTAAGGATGAGTGAGTGCGCGGGCTAATGAGAAGAGGAAAGGAGTGAGAGGTGAAAAGAGTGGAGGGAGTATTGGCCCGAGCCGTCCTCGAGGTGTCCAACGATGAATTTCAAAGTGGATTTAAGGTAGTTTTTTTTTTATGTACACCTGCGTTTCACTTCCTCGCGTTCGTCCTGCGTCCTCATCGTTACGCACGCGTCGCATACGACACACACACACGGTATAAAGTTTTCTATTCGCGTACACAGGTACAGCGCGGTCCTCTTCCGTAAAAAAATTACGTACGCGCGTTCGGTCACGACACGATTAAAAAAAAACCTCTTCCACGCGCTCCCATGCATACGTTCTAACAAAATTTTTTTCTTTTAAATTAATTATCATTAAATCGTTAGAAACAACTAGTAAACTATGTACAATACACGTATATCAATCCTCAACCAGTTACCAAAAAAGGTTACAAAATTATCAAGTTGAATCGCTATAAAAGTGATGTTCGACTACCGTGAGTAAATTTCACTGAAATTCAAAGTGTAGCTGACCACGGCCGACTCGATACGAGCGGGCCTGGTTCAGATAAAGATCCACGATCCTCCGATGTGATCGAAACGATGCTTAATTTCGCATCTCAAATAGATCGAGACGAAAGAACGCGTGCGCTGAGATTTCCGTAAAACTTTCTCGGGAACGGAGGAAGTCTGCTTTCCCGTTCGCTCGGACGGTAGTTGAACATTATCGCTAGTAATAAAAAATAAATTAATCGGTGAATCGAAACGTTTACTCGCGTACTGAGAAAGAAACAAAGTGGGATGTAGTAGCGGGAGAGGGGGAAAAGATGGGATAGGGAATCGAGGAGGAAAACGAAAGCGAGAAGATCAACGGAGATGTTGAACTAACTGTATCGCGTGCTGTAAAGCATCGGCGATATTCTGGAAAACAGGTACACCTTCGCGCATCGCGTAGTCCGACAGGTACATTCTTCCCCGATTGTAGTCTTTTATGGCTTGTTCGGTGAGCTGTAAAAAACAAAACACGGGAGTTTCTCGTGCGAACGGGTGACCCTGCGGCGGAAAGAGAATGCTCACTTTTTCACCGGAAACTACGCAACCTTCGGGAAGCGTTTGAACGCACAGGACTATTTTCGCGCGTAATCCGATTAGGTGAGCTGCCAACGCCACTAAGGCGCTGCCACGTGCGTGCTGCGGCACGACCAGTAATATCAATCGTGAATTCTTCATCCTTTGTAATTCTTGCGGCAACACTTTCACATTGTACTCGTTCAGGTTCGTCCGAAACAGGGACAGTCCCACTGATCTGAAACGAGAAAATTGTAAACGTTACACGTTGATTGTTCCGCGACGTTCTAGATCTGATGGTAGAGTCACGTTTCGAATAATGCTCACTCGATCGAGGGTGCGGCGGTCGACTCTAACCAGAATTGATCTTTACCGATCACTCCTACGTACAGGTCTCTCTTCTCGGATTCCGGCACGAACGAATTGGTCCAATCTAAAAAGTCGGACGTATTGCATCGAACGTATTTACGCTTTCGCGAGAGATTTAAACGAACTAGTTCGAGGACTACTCTGTTCTGTACAGCCTAACTCATACGCGTTAAAGGCACTATACACGTGTTACTGTGCGCGACAGAAAGTTTGGTTGAGAATAGGAAATACCTAAGAAACGGTTAAAAGGTTGCACGATAGCCCTGCGAAGGAACTTCGATGCCTTCCTACATAATATACTCCAAACTGAAGGTATCTCACTTTCACAAGAGACGCCGTTGCTCTTCGTCCTCCACGTTGATTCGGCGGCCAACGCGCAAAACTGTTCGAAGTTTATCCGTAAGTCCGTCGAGTCCCTTTTCGCTGGAAACCCGCCGTCTATCAACGTCCTATACGTTTCTATGACCGCAAAAAAATTGATCTTTCGGTAAACTTGAATGCGAACGTTCGCGTTTACGAGCGATAGCTCTTTACCTGATTTGTTCACGACGTTCAAAAGATCCGATGACACGTTGCACTTGAGGTTTGACTGTAGCGCTATCCAAGCCTGCGAAGAACACGAAGTGAGACATCTGCGAATGTAAGATGATTAAATGTATCGGAGGAACGTACCTCCTGCAAGTTCACGCTTCCGCTGTCGTTGATGTCCACGGACTTGAAAATTTCCCTGAGCGTACTGTAACAGGACAGAGTTAAAGAGACGGCTCATAGCGTTAATTATAATTTTGACGACTTACACCACGTCCGTTCCGTTCTGGCCATACAACTTGATCGGTCTGATCCCATCCTCAGAATGCAGATCTTGCACGTTAATATCTTCGCGTAGTATCTACGATGAATTTATAAGTTTTATCTCGCGCGTATACTAAATGGAATTTATAGCGTGTATACCTTCGATGTACAGTTCAGAGCGATCGACAGGCTTTCGAAAATCGGTATCCTCTGCCTCTCCATCAGATATTGAAGGACCGACAGTCCGTTCATCAGATCGTAATATTCTCTGAAAAGAACAACACGTGTAACGTGCCGCCGTTAAATTCTACGAACGAGTCGCCGCTTACTGAATGGACACGGTCTCGCCGAGTATCGTCTGGCCTTGACGATACGGGTAAATGACGAGAACCAAAGACTCGCGACGAGTAGCTGCCAACTGAGCTGCCTCGATGATCCCCGCGCTGTTTCGCGTTTGATTATCGATGACGAACAGTAATACTTTCGCCGTTTGCTTCGCCTCGTGCTCTTGAGCTATCAGTTCTGGTCCCCATTGCGACACTTGCTGAAATACATCGTTACGTTTACGTTGACGATCTTCGTTGAAACGAGAACGATTAAAGGTAGCATCGACGCGCTTACGGGATTGTAATACGTGATCCCGAGTCTCTGCAAAGTCGGTATGGCGATTTCTGATCTCCACGTGGTTGGATTACAAGATCCACCCAGAAATACCTCATATGCCATTCTATCTGTAGGCGAAAGAAATGTTTACTCGATCTGCGAGTAATGACGCGCGTTAGAAAGACTTACTTGGACCGCTTTTGTAGTTAATGTCCTTTCCATCACAGTGTAACGGACGAGTGGCACTCATAGAAGCGGCTGTTCTGGAATAACGATGGACGAAAGTTAATCGTGTTCCAGAAAAACGAATTATCGGCGAGCAGTATTATCACACTCGAACGTGTCGATCTTCTTTTACGTTTTACTTGCAAGAGGATTCGATATAACGCGAAACAACGTGGAGGAAAATTGAATCGAGTGTGGTAATGCTTGAGAATTGTTTTATTTCAGTTTCGGACGTACTTGCAAATATCAAATCCTTTTGCAACAAGGAGAATCACGCTACGCTGCATCGTTGGAAAATTGTGTTTGCTTGTGACTGATCACAACCGACCGTTCGACATTTTAAGCCCGTAACGTAGACGTTTCCTTTTGTCCCGTGATTCTGCGACCCGTCAAAAGGGGTTGAACGTTTCCATTACCTTTCTCCGCGCGAGCATGCCAATTCGATGAGAAGAATGCAGACTCCTTGAAGCATTCTACAAACATTTGGGCCTGGATTCGAGTCAGTTTTAATGAGTTGCTGCTCTCTGCACGTTCCCATCCAGTTTGCGAGCAACAGCATTATGCGTGCTTCGTGCCCCTGAAACAAAATAGATTAGAATCTATACGGGAAAACTGAGGACAACGCTTGGCGAGTCCAGGTGCGCTTACATAGATTCTGTTCCAGTCTGTCAACATAAATTTCAGCACATACGTAAGAAGGCTTCATTGTTTCAGTAGTATCTCTATCTTTTAATTATCTGCAAGGAGAGACCGTTGAATTTTCCTGTCCAGAAGAAAAGTCGACGTTACCGTTGACAGTGGGATTAGATGTATGGCACACGAAGGAAGGTCGATTCTGTCTGGAAGACGTAAACGTTGGAAGAGGATGGAAATGGAAACCATGGTTAGAAGCACGAGGTATACGAGGCTGAAACGTTTCGTATTGGGAATGGCAAACACGCAGATTAGAGTGCACCGTTTAATTAGTTGCCACAGCTAGTCGCTGCTACCTACTGAAAACTGTTTAGCATAAGTTCGCAAGGCGATGGAGAGGAGAGCCTGTCAGGCACACTAACCTTGACGATAGTTCGGTGCTGCATGCCCACGCATGAAAAACATATGTGGTGAACTTCAAAGGGAGAAACATCGATCCCGACTGCATTTCACGTGCATTCATTTACGAGTCATCCGAGCGCGATGCGAAATTAATCGAGGCGAGGATCGAACGCGTATATCCCTTTGGAAAAATGAACGATCGGAGCTACGATTGTACACTCCCGCTATTGCTCATACTTATTTATACACCGTTATATTTAAAATGTAAGAACGCGTCGGGTAAGAGGCACTGGCTGAGAACGAATCACGCACCTATTCGTCGACGTTATTACATATTCACGAAAATATTGCTCCGATATCGGTGATCGGGCGCGCGTAATTGTATCGTCGCAGCGCGGAAACCACTCTGTCGTTCGAACAATTCGCTGCGTTCGATTCGCATCGAGTGGTTCGCTCGAGAAATCGGTAACTTCGTCGATGAGATCACAAATCACCGCTACCACTGTTGAACGTCGCGCTTCTACCTCGTACCGTTCTCCTTTTCCATCTTCTCGCTCCAATCTACTCTCTTCTCTTATCTCTCTCTCTCTCGCTCTCGCCCTCTGTCACTCTCTCTCGCTCTATATCTCTGTCTCTCGCTTCTCTCTCGGCTATCCTTCCGTCCTTCCTTCTTACGTTACAGCTATAGCTGCCCTCGCTCCTGCTGACTCCTTGCTGGTCGCTTCCTCGTCGTCACCGAGATACGCTGCTGCTGCTGCTGCTGCTGCTGCTGCTGCTGCCTACTATCCTTTCTCCTTTTCTCACGCACGACCGCTAATTACTTTCCGATTCCTTATCATTCAAAGGGAATCAGTCCCCGATTCGGTGGGGAACGATCGCTTCGATTTAACGAGAAACGACCCACGTCCGACATCGGTTCAGCGCAGTCGCAACCGTGATCGGCGATTCGATCCTCTCTTTCTCGCGTCCGCCTTTCGGGAGTCTCGTCGGGTTCGGGTTCTCTCACTCGCCTCTTTCACTTCCCGCCACGCCGCTATACTCCGCTACACGGTATAGACTATTTTACTCTGTAAATCGCGCGCAACACGACTCGATACCAGACTCGAGAATGACGTAAACCTCCAACAATGAAGCGTGATGTCACACACAGCCAACTCCGTAGCCGTAGAGGTTCGCTGTTCGCTCTCACCGGCGGCATCGTCATCGTCATCGCCGTCGCTATCGCCATCTCCATCTTCATCTCCATCCGACATCGCTATCATTCGACATGTATCATCACCGCTCTTCAGAGATTTCCGATGTATACATGAATGTTACGGCAATTGCTTCGACTGGCCGTCAATTTCATCGAATTTAATTGTTTTATATTGTTTTAGTCATCTTTATCTGTAAAAATTGATATCATTTCTTATTGTTTGCCTATCGTATTATTGAAATAAACACATGGCGAAACAAAGGAATGATTCGACGCGTAGATTCTGAGTAATTCTTTCCATGTAACGCTCCATTCATGCATTACAATTGTACAATTATGCTATTTCTCAACAGGTACCAAAGTTTATTACTGTAAATAGATTGATCTGACTCGTTGAGTCATTAGCTAATTAGCTGATCTCTCCCATCTCTCCTTCGTCTCTCCCTTGTCTCTCCTGTCGAGGTACTTCTGTAAAACGTGAGAGCACTTACACAAACGTGTAATGAACGTGCCACTCATGTTTCTGACAGCTAGGCTACAACTTTCGTCTAAAAACATTTTTTCAGGTTTCTCTCAATCAACGACAAGTTCCTGTCGATCAACAAGGACCAGGACTTCCATAAATAATAAGAGACACAACGAAGTTTTAGAAGTGTGCATGCACTATCATTTAAGTACGATACTGTTTGTAAAATATTATATTAAAATACTATTAATAAAGAAATAGTTTAAATGGAATTCAAACGTCTCGTTACTTACCTTCAACTCCATCCGCAACCAATCCCTTCTCCATGTCATCTTCACTTAGTATAAGTAGAAATTTGGTGGAATCGGAATTTAAAAATTCTTGGAAATGACGTCATCACCAGGAGTTAGTGCTACCTCCTATCACATTATATTCTCCTGATACAAAGTTCAATTTTAGACAAAAATTTGTCATTTCGAGAATTCTTGGAAATGACGTCATCATTCCTAATACAAAGTCCAAATTCGGGCTAAAATTTTGTCGAAAATTTTACTTTGTATTAGGAGAATATGATATGATAGGAGGTAGCACTAACTCCTGGTGATGACGTCATTTCCAAGAATTCTCGAAATGACAAATTTTTGTCTAAAATTGAACTTTGTATCAGGAGAATATAAGTTTGTAGGAGGTATGCTATGACGTCATCAATCGAACAGGAAAAATTTTTGCCCGAAATTGGACTTTGTATTAGGAGAATATGATATGATAGGAGGTAGCACTAACTCCTGCTGATGACGTCATTTCCAAGAATTCCCGGATAGCAAAAATTTTTGCCCGAAATTGGACTTTGTATCAGGAGAATATGAAATGATAGGAGGTAGCACTAACTCCTGCTGATGACGTCATTTCCAAGAATTTCGCATCCCTGAATTTAACGTACTTATACAACTAATTTAGTAGTGAGCAGGGCTATTATTTCGAGTCAGAGTCCTCGTTAAGGAATGGGAGTTGGTCATTTTAGGAGTACAGGCCAAGTGAATAGACAGACAGGTGATTACATTTTAATGTACAATTTATTTATAACTATTGAATAGTATACATAGGTATGTATAATGAGTATTACACTAATTGTAGTAGAGGTAGTAATAAAAAATTTACAATAATTGAATATTGGAGCCAAGCACTTTCGCGGCCACGAACGCTAGATGGCACAACGAGCAACGCAAAATCAATTGAGATATGTGTAGTACATTAAAACTCTTTTTATTTTGACGTGTCAAACTTAAAAGAAAATCCAACAGTATAAATGTCATATCGAGCATTGAAAAACAAGACGTAGACTTATTACTCATTTTGAATTTTGTCTCCTAGCTATACAGCTAGTAACAATGAAATGAGCCAGCTATGTGCATGTGTTAGTTTCCCCTAGGGGACTAAATTCAAAACGAGTGTTAATAAGTGTACGTCTTATCTTTTTAATGCTCGATCAAGCGTTTACAGAATTGTGGTCGATACTGTTTGACACGTTAAAATAAAAACAATTTTAACTTACGTCTGGATAAATAGTTACAGATGTAATTTTATTTTGAAATTGAAAGTAAAGGGAATGTGAAAATACAGGAACGGTGTAACTTATAAAAATAATAAACGTTATTCGTTCATTGTATCATTTACTTATTATTTAATCAATTATTAGGTTAATTAACATTTTAGAACGTTTTAATTATAATGATTTTGGTGTGGGGGCTGTGTGCAGGGCAGCAGGACTCTCTGGTATCGTCTTATGCGTGGTACGCATGCACATGGCGAGAGCCGTTATGATCTGACTCCGGATTCCAAAACCCTTTGCTCCCATATAATAAAATTTACTGAACCGTTATGATGAGGCAGGTATGGAGCTCTACCTCCAAGAAATGATAAACGCTGATTAACGATTGCACAGGATCGTTTATTCTGATGGCGAAAAGGCCCGCGTACAATGTCTGTATAAAATGGCGAACCTCGTGGTCGCTTACAAGTACGATCGCCACGCGTGGCTAGAAATTTTGAGCTCGATACAAAAGATATCGATTCGCTTCGATTCGTCGTTTAATCACTATTCGTAATAGTAATCCGCGAGGGCGGATGCGCGTCGGATATCAACGATTGATTCGGATACGGCGGAACGCGGCTTAGGTAAGACGTGTATTTGTAACGCGAACGTGCGTTCTCGATGATGCGTTAACGAGGACTGTTAACCGTTGAGGAGTTTGAACGGCTAAGGAAGAAGCCTACATTGGTTTAACGCAAGGGCGTAAAACTCCCTAGATATGTTGGCGCAGTGACGCCACATTGGGGTTGCTCGCGGCGCCATCTAGCGTTCACGGCTGCGAACCCGTTTTTCTCTCTGGTGCAGCAATATTGGAGCCAAGAATTTTCGCTTTTAACAAGAAATTTCGTTTTTCCTCAATAACTCCTAAACCCTTGCAGATACGCGAAAAGTGCATACGACCTTTCTTGTAGATCAGATCGTCCTCTACAAGAAAGGCACCCTAACGACCCC